TAAAACTGGGTAATGAAGATGCACACTTGTAAGAATAAGAATAAAATTATAAAGTATGCTGTACAAAAGGTCCCAATTTAACTAAATTAAAAATGACTATAAGTAGCAGCAATACAAAATATCAGTATCATTTTCATAAAACTCTGATTCATATAATGGCACAGACATCTGCAATGGGAAGGCCATGGTGACTTAATTTCATATATTAGAATATATATATATGTGTGTGTATTTAGAATGTCACAAGTGTGTATCAGTGAAGATGATGGTGGTGCAAGGATTACATCTAAAGTGGCTCACTGAGGTTCAGCAGGGTGGGACCTCTAATCCCTCTAGAGGGCACAGACATGCAGTTAGGGTGGATAACATTCTTAGAATAGTACTGCGTCTCCCTGTGTGGATATCTGGTACCGTAGTGACAGTGCCCTGCCAAACCATATGGCAATATGGTTGCTGCACTACTGATTGATTGGCATCGGTTAGCATTACAGCAGTATAGTTTTTCGTCTAGTAACTCTGCATTATGCAGTTGTAGACCCTTTGTGCAATTGGTTTTACAATTGGTGTTTCTGTATGTATAACAGTTACTGTGACCCCAAGTCTGGGTTTTACACATAGATTGTTTTGTGAAAGGATGTGAAGTTGCTGTGCTACTGTGCTGAACATTATATGGTCAAATTGGAACTGCACTAACCACCACCAGATCTTTACAGTGAAGTGAAAGCATTAGAAATATAAAAAACAACTACAATTTTTAGATAATCTATCATTTTTCCAAACATTTTTATCCGTAAAATCACCTCAAGGTCTTATTTGTTTGTACTGTTAGATTTGATTAGATTGGAATTTAGGACTTTAAGTCAACAAAACATTTTTATAGAGAAATGATAGTAACATGGCAGGAAATAAACCTGTGGTTAGCTATAGCTACAGCTTTTGCTTTAGTTTCAATATGACTGCAGAGTAGCAGATAATATAGGCTTTCTTTTAAGCCCAGTAGTTTTATTATGTGGTATAAAATAAATAGGACCACAGTAGCCTTTGTATTTATATTTTTAAAACTTGAAGTGTAAAATAACTAAATGCAACCATGCAGGTTCTTGATTGCTGGCATATACTTGACACCACTAGATGGCACACAATAGCTACAAGCAGAGAAACGTGTGCACTGAATGTGTAGATGACACATGTATTTGTGAAGTATCTTGCTCATATTTTCAATTTCGTTTCTCACCTAAAGGCCATTAACCTCACTTTCTCAGGCTGATCATTTCCATATGACATCAAATGAAATCCCATTATCTACATTATTCATAGAATACAATCAGTGTAGCACCATGTCTGCTAATATTGTAGTAAATGTCAAATTGAAAATGTTATTTAATTCACACATTGTTATCATTTTAATATAATGCTGCTATGGCTTAATAGTCTTCTGTTTTTCTTATCATTCCTCAGGACCAAGTGAAGCCACCGAAGACATCCAAAACCAAGACAGCACAGACAGTTGCTGAAGGGACAGTCGTGGAGGGCCTCGAGCAGATACCCGAGGAAGGACGAGAGGGACTCCCAGACAATCTCAACTCAGATGAGGAGGTGGAGATTGAGGAGATTATCGAAGAATCTCGTACCAAGCGCCTCCAACGCACCACTAAACAGCAAGTGGACAACATAAAGAAAGCCTTCTCCAAAGAGAAAATGGAGAAGACCAAGGTGAAGACCAAGGAGAACTTGGAGAAGACCAAGCAGAGAACCCGCGAGAACCTGGAGAAGACAAGACAGAAAACCCGTGACAACCTTGAGAAAACCAAGCACAGCCTGGAGAAGAAGATTGGCAAGCTCGGGACCCGCATGACCCCTAACCTGGAGCGCAGGGTGAAGATGAAAACCTCCAAAGACAAGATGAAGAAGTCCCTCACCCCTGACCACACGGTCTACGCTCGCTCCAAGACCACTGTGTATCGTGTGCCGCCATTCACCTTCCATGTTAAGAAGATCCGAGAAGGGGAGGAGGAGGTGGTGCAGCACACAGAGATGGTGGAGGTGACCGAGGCCGAGGGCCTGCCAGCGGGAGAGGAAAATGGGCTGGGTGTGCATGTGGAGGTGGAGGAAGGGGAGCTGGTGAGAGTAGACAGCCCAGAGATGGAGGCTCTGTTGGAAGTGACTGAGGACTCTCCGCTGGTCAGGGTGGAACCAGACCACCTAAAGAAGGCCCAAAGCGAATAGAACGCCCCAACTCTGCAGGGCTGAAGTGAGAGATAAAAGAAGAAAGAGGGGAACCGAGTCTTGACGAATGAGTCTAATCATGAGGACACTATATTTGTTGTAGGGACTTTCTAGACGTGATCACAATCTATGAAATGTCATTTGTTTTCTGATCTCTTATTATTGTACCCAACAGGGATGACTTTCATATTTCCTCCTCTTTAGCATACAAATAAGAAAAACTAAACAAAAACAAAGCTAGCTTTTGAAACATGTTGCAGGCTGACTGGTTATCTTAGACCTGTATGTTTATTTTACTTACTGTTTGTTGTTGGTTCGATAAATTGAGTGGCTATAAGAAAAAAGGTATAAATAGTCTTTGCTATTGAGATGTAATGTGTAATATAATATTTGCCATGTATGATATGCACATTAGGAAGTATGGTAACAGGAAGTGGTTAGCAGGATTTAAGTTCGAATGGATGATTTTTGGTGATGTAATGTGCACGTGCGAAACAAATAAAAAGAACAAATAGGCAAGGTTTAGGTCCTACAGGAGAAACAAAGGACTGAGGAGGCAGGAGGAGAGGTTTTCCTCGACTGAAGAGTTTACAAAACCATTACCCTTGACATGCAAAGAGCATTAGGGCGTAAAGCTTATTTACTGCCACTCAGGCATTGTGCCAAATGTAAATTACAAATGTAAATGCCTGCAAATAGAGTGTAATGTCTGATCAATTATATTGGGGACTTTAAAACGCTGACAAATTCAACTATTAGAATATTTAAACACACTACAATAAAGTTACTGCTGTGCACTTGCAACCATAATTCAAAAACTTAATGTTTTACCGTTTTGAAAAGCAAGTCAGTATCCTGTATGGACATATTTTGTGTATTGATGGAAAAATAATGAATATTCCCCCACTGAGTTGGACGTTATGTGGGGAAATATCTCTGTCTATTCTGAGTTCTTAATTGGTCATTAATTTAAAATCTCAGCTATAATAAACTGTTCAGAGCTGCTGCGGAGTATCTTTACAATGCATGCTTGAAATCACGGTTTGTTCGATCATTTACTGCAATGTTTTGATGTATATTCACCTTGCAGTATTTATTGCACCTGGACATGCACTCACCAACTTCCACATAGGACACTTTACACAGAGAAGAAAAACGACTGTGTTACCATGGCCACATCTCACCACAGTACATTTGCACATCCCTATTAAATTTTCCCAAGGTAATTGCAGAGAGAAAAATGATGGTCTGAAGAGCAAGATGACAGTTTAATGGCTGACTATGTAACACATGGAGATGGAAATATCATCCTAAATGCATCTGAAGTGAGACAGTGCACTGCCAAGTTTTAGGAATGGTGTGGCATTCTAATAAATGTCAGAAAACCGGAACAGCATGATTCAGTACACTAGCATTTTTAGCAGAAACCAGGTGCAATCTTGTGTACTTCCTCTGAATTATAAAAGGAATGTCCACAATGAAGCTGTCGGACCATAACTCATTAAGTATTATCATTGTAACTTAGAGAAGACAATTATGCCGGTTTAGAGGAAGCAGAGACAATTGGATTGTAATTATCTGAGCCTGATGTAAAAAGGGCTAGAGGCAATGTTCAATCATTAACACTTTTGATCGTGTAAGACAAGCACACATGGCTCTGGACAAGAAGATGGTACGGCTTCCATTTTGTGTGTGATCCTGATGTGGTGTAGCCCTGCAGAAGCCCAGTGTGTAGCATGAAACACCATTAAAATAATCAATGGGCTGGGGAATGCAATTAAAGAGAGTGCTCCCTCTGAGCACTGAGCAGGGTAGAGAACAGTGGGAAGGACGGATAACAAGGATGAGTGTCTATCTTTCTGTCTGTGCGAGCGACTGTGAAGAGTAAGTATGTGCATACGATATAACATTTTGGTGAAAGTCAAGGTTCATGTCAGCATTAGGTGGACATTTCATAAAAGAACAAATACGTATATTTATTGTCCAACACATCAAACACTGAAACACTTGTAATATATTGATCCCTCTTTAAAGAAAAAAAAAGTGTGTTTTTTGCCACCATGTATATTTTGCCTTGTTTTGAGCTACTGGTTATTAAAACATGGAACCAGCCTACTATAAGCATGGGGTAGGTTATGCACAGCTTATATAGCGACATTGTTCATTTTGAAATCTGCTGCAGCACAATGTGACATATAATTGCTCTTGTTGTTACTGATTCATACTCAAAATAATGAAGCTTGCCTTTTCTGTTTCTGTTTTCTCTTTTGCCTAACCACTTCAATATGAAATAAAAGCTTACTGAATAATATCTACTGCCTATTTATGTTTATTTATATTATGTTCTACCTGATTAAAGCCTTGTGTATTTTCCATTTGTTCACCTGTTCACCAGAGACACCAGGCTTGGGTAAGGCAGCCCCTGAATTGAGATCAGGAGAGGCCAATACTGAACAGCACTGGTGTTATTAAACTCTTGATGACGTCGACACTGCCAGTAACTCAGATGACTTCCAGGCTGGCTGTTCCAGCGAAGCGCTCGCACTCCCTCCGCAGCGAACCAGCCTCCGCGGTCCGCCCGCAGGGAGGGTGCGCTCGCGGGAACAGCGCAGTTGCGACAGCAGTAAACACGACGCTCTCAACCAACCTCGCAGTGACGTCCCGCCCCGCGCGCTTACAAACCGCGTTGTGATTGGCCGCCGCAGAGACGTCGACCGCTATTGGCTGTTAGAGGTGTCAATAAAGTGGTTGGTGGGGTTTGTCTGGCTGGAAAAGACTGCAATGTAGGAGATGGGTTCGGTGAGAGCAGCGCTTGCATCAGAGGAGTGCCTCCCGTGGGTTTTTAAGAAAAGATTCAGGGTCGCGATCATTTCTGTGTGCTCTCCCTCGCGTTTGTGTGTTTAATTTTTTTTTTTTTTTTTTACAAACAGTCATTACTGACCGCTTCTGTCAGTTTTTAGTAGAAAGAGTGACATTTGTTTTACGGAGAAACTTTCCAAAGGATAACAGCGAGCTTGGTAAGCCACTATAACGACTTCTGCTTTTTGGCGTTTATTAAACATTTTTCCCCAGGCGGGAGGCCGGGTTGTTTATTATTATGTATCAGCAGAACACTTTAATGCACGGACATTTATCTATATTTTTATCCAGAATGCCCCTGAACTAACGTACAATTGCAGCATTGTGACGCGGTTATAATTTATTCATGGTGGAGAAAACATTTTGTGTGTGTCTCCCCCCTCTGGTGTTATAAAAGTTACTGAAGTGTTACTACACCTATCTATTCACTTTGAACTGCTCCTCATGGGGATGATAATACTACTCATGTGACTTTATGTTTTCTGTTCGAGATCCGGATGGCCTAGTTTAATAGTTGAACAGGACTGAACTGTGGCTCAAACTTCACCTGTGTGCCTTTGTGGACGATGAAATTCAGGTTATTGTTGTTTGCTGCCTGTAATTGTCACGCCCATCTCCATGCCATCTGCAGGCCAGCATGTGTGACACCCTGCACTGGAATTCATTCTCCCATTCCTCAAATGGGATCTCGAGATATTCTGCCCAGTTTTTAGGTTATATGGCAGAATTTTCTTTATTTTAAATGCCATCTGGAGTGCAGCCAGTACAGCTGTGGAGTCATAGTGATCTGTGTATCAGGCTACTACATTATTGACTGTGAGCGGTGTTTTCTGACTGCCATGAAATACATTATGACTCTTTCTTAATGGCATGCATAGTGGTTTTATTGTCACATGTGTTTTCAGATAACCATAAAATGGAAAGTTGGCACGCTCACCGCTTTCTTTGTCTGTTCAAGGAAGTACTTCCTGGAATATCAGTAACACGATTTAAGGAATTACGTTGTGCTTTTACCGTCGCTGCCACATGTTGACAGAGCATTGGAAACTGGACAATCTGGCTGGCCTGGCACATTTATGGTTAATCGGACAGTCTGCTTACCGTAAGATTGAGTTGAAAACATAGATAGTTTATTTGTTTTAGTGGACCCATTGGATGTATGAGCTCACCTTCCAAATGAACATTTGGCTGCTATCTTTTGATAAGCCAGTGAGTCTGTGGCATTAGGTCAATGCCAAACGTTGTTTAAAATAATTGTTAGTCAATTATAAAACAGTATTGTGCCATAATCCTGCAGAAAACCCATACAGGGACACAGTCCAGCACCTTCACTCAGGTGGCGAGTCTGTAATTCAGCACAATACATGGAAAGACATTATGAAGGTGGTTGAAATAGATTGCACAGTAAAAGTCACTTTAGGCCAAGAGGTTTGTAAACTGAGCTTAATGAGCCTCTTCAGTGTCAGTCTGGCTTCTTAGTGCATCAGATAAATGTCAACACAATAGAAAGTAGGAAATACCAATTCAGATGATGCAGAAATGAAAGATTATAATCATGATTATTGATGGTGACTCAGCGACTCTTTGATGTGATCCTCTCAGGGGTTTCATTTGACCAGAAATTCACACCATGCAGCTGCACATTTTTCATATGCCAGTGAAAGAGGAACAAGGGTCACGTGCACACTGTCACATCGGATGGACAATTGCAGTAACACACCAACATACCTTTAACGCTCACCCATATGATGTCATTGAGGATAATTGTTTTGACTGAATACTTGTGGCTTCCTCGGGAAACTGAAGTGATTCAGGTGAAACTTAACGCACACACACGTGTTTTTGCTTCAGTTTGCCCTAAAACCAAAAAATACATGAGATGGATGGTGTCCAGTTTGTGTTGGCACTGTGTGAGATAAAAGTTGCTGTAATGATTGAGGCTGGCGTTCAATCGGATGGTTTTATATTGAGAAGAGTTTCTGATATATTGTCTCCTCATGTGTATGGACAGGGGCGAGCAAGTGTACATGCTAATCGAAGGGGTTTACCGAGTACAGTGTGAGTGAAACCAGGACAGATGTTGAATACAATTTTTGGAAATTGTACCAGCGCCATCTTTGATATATGTGCTTTCTGTCAGCAAGAGCAATATCTGAGCCCCTGGAAACAGAAAGCAAAGTCTAGTTTCTTGTCACGAACATATCTGAGTCATCAGTTACCAAGGATCAGAGTTATACTAAACCTCTGTTCTTATGTCTAAATTCTGCCTGTTGCACTATTTTGTAACGTCACATACAACTAAGTACTGGCTACTCCGACTTTGAGTCCGACGGACTCATCGGACGATACAAGAGTATTTAAAAGTTACGTAAGAGGCTTAAACAAAGGCTTCAGCTGGTCATTCAATACAGATTGCTAGAGGAGACAACGTTCTCTTGGCTTTACTGATCGTCTGGTTATTGTTAATGTACAGTCCTCCAGGGAACGCTGTAGTCTGGTGTTGGTAAAATGAGAGGGCTGGTCGAATCTACCATGTGGATCTGATGGATGATAGTTGTCTCTGCAAGCAGCTGGGTGAGGATTAATGAAAAGACATTGTTCAGGTTGCGTTGTGCTCCTTGGAAAATGAATATGAAGAAAATGAACAAACGCTAATTATGTCGAAGAATACCCCCGTGCTTCTGTAGTAGTTTTTAAAACCACCTAAGAAAAGGAAGTGTGGTTTTCATTGTTTATAGCGTATACAATTGGGGCAAAGACTCGGCCAAAGTTCAGTAATTCTTATCTGCTTAGGGACTTGACAGCTGTTCATGTCGCCCTATACTTCTTTGTGGAGGCATAGTGTTTCACTGAACAGGAAGTGAATGTGCTGAATAGGAGGCGTCCCGAGACCTATCATAATTTTCTGAGAAAAACTCACATTAATCTATAATCTCTGGTCAGTGAGAATTCATCTGTTAAGGCATGTTTTTTTTATTTATTTTTAAATAATTATCACTCAGTATGTGCCTTCCCAGGGATGTTCTCTTGGTACACTGCTTAATCTATGTTGTGACCCCCATCTTTTCTGTGTAGGTTTGAGGAGGTGTATGTCACGATGGCCCAGTGGAACCAGTTACAGCAGCTGGAGACGAGGTATCTGGAGCAACTCTACCACTTGTACAGTGACAGCTTCCCCATGGAGCTACGGCAGTTCCTTGCTCCCTGGATTGAGAGTCAGGACTGGTGAGGAATAATTTAATTCCTGGGCTCTCTTATGAAAGCGCATTTTGTTTCTCCTGTGTGATAACCCTTAAAGGTCCAGTATTTAGTGATTGGGCTGATTTAGGTGACCCTAATGAAAACATACCTATGGATATTAAATTCATTCCACCAATAAATCTTCCTAAATGTTGCTTTTATCCTCCACTCCCTTCAGACTGGCAGCGGGCCACTCACCATGACTCACCTTGCTGTTAGCTTGCCAGGCATACTGCTATTGTGTTTTCTCATTCATTGTCATCTTCCTTGATCATGCCTTCTTCTCTCACGACATTATTACAGGGATCTCACACATACTGTGTATTTCACTGCACCTTTACTGTGTCCAGTGACGACGCTTTAAGATTTGTATTAATTAATTTAAAATAGTAAAAAGTAGCAAAAGAGGTTATGTTTTCTGTCCAATTCATCTTTTTTTTTTTTTTGTTAATTGCTTTGCAGAATATCTTAAAAACTGCTTGTTTTAGTGCAGATACCCAATCCGGCATTGGTCTTTTAGGCAAAGATCATTAGCACCAGCAGCCAATCACCATGGTTTGTTTATCACTGTGTATTTTTATACAGACCCAGACTGAGATGCAGAAATATCACAAGAAAGACATTTTCAGATTTTCTTTCCCCTAGTACTCACGCTCATGTGAGATACAGGATGTTTTCATGAGATCTAAAGCAGTTGTGAAGGTCACGTGAACAGTGAATTGGAACAAGTTCAACTTCTTTTATCAACTTAAAAAGAACTCCAAATAGTCATATGCTCATTAATATCTCATCTTCTCCTCCACAAGGGCCTACGCTGCCAATAAGGAGTCACACGCCACACTGGTGTTTCACAACCTCTTGGGAGAAATAGACCAGCAGTACAGCCGGTTCCTGCAGGAGAACAATGTACTCTACCAGCATAACCTGCGCAGGATTAAGCAGCATCTGCAGAGCAAGTACTTGGAGAAGCCGATGGATATCGCCCGCATCGTTGCCCGCTGTCTGTGGGAGGAGCAAAGACTGCTGCAGACCGCCACATCTGCTGCACAGGTAGAGAAGAGCTACACTAACCTAGCTGTAGCATTCATATTACATCAGAGAGCTTCAGTTCATGAATTTTAGGGTTCACACTTCAATTAGAGATCAAACAATGGCTTTACATGTTAGTGTATGTTCCACTCTCTTGCAGGATGGCCAGGCCGCCCATCCTACCGGGACAGTAGTGACAGAGAAGCAGCAGATCCTGGAGCACAACCTTCAAGACATCAGGAAACGAGTGCAGGTTAGTTTCCATCAGAGACTTGCCAATTAAGTATTTAAATATGTAGTATAAAGAATCCTGAACTCTCTAACTTTGACAAAATTAGCTTATCTTGTCATGAATATATAAACTATTATCTGTTTTTCTTCAGGATATGGAACAGAAGATGAAAATGCTTGAGAATTTGCAGGACGACTTTGACTTCAATTACAAGACTTTGAAAAGTCAAGGAGGTATATTTTCTTCGCTTTAGCAATGTTATTTATTTGTTTTGAAATGTTTTAACTCTGAAATGTTCACTCATTACTTGGTATAGATTAAATGAACCAAATCTGTTTGCTGACCTGCGACATGTCCACCCTCTGTCCAGAGTTGTCCCAGGACCTGAATGGGAATAGCCAAGCAGCTGCTACCAGACAGAAAATGGCTCAGCTTGAGCAGATGCTGAGCGCCCTGGACCAGCTCAGGAGGGTGGGTGTCTCGATGCTTTAAGCGAAACATAAGGATCATAAAAACGGGCAAGAAAAAGGCTTTCATGTACAGGCTTTCTGCCTGTGCATTTGAGCACGTTCAAAGGTTTTGTGGCATAAAATTAACGAACTTAACAGACAAATGGAACAACACCTTTATTTTCATGGTGGTGTGGTATAGGGACACACCCAGCTTGAGGTTGTCGACTGGCACAAAAGGCAGAAGTCTCTCGGCCATGGAGTTCTCTGTCGTCACGGCTATGAAACTACATGCCGTGCTGTTGTCCATGCTGCGTTTTACATGCCATGGGCCAGCATTTCTTAAATGTAAATGTGAAAACTGGGGTAGGGGTGGTGTGACAACTGATCTGACTCATAATTTTCTGAACTGAAAGAATAGTTATGGACAGTTGCAAGCACTTTGTAACCTCGTTTAGATAAGTGCTATACAAATTAAGTGATTATTTTCATTATTATGTATCACATTTGCAAAAGGAGACAGTGGAAAATAATTATGTAGTAGTTTAAAAAGAAGTAGTAACGTACTGTACAGAGGTAAAGCTACCAGTCACATTGACCATAGGGACTATATATATGTATATATATGTATATGTATATATGTATATATATGTATATGTATATATGTGTATATATATATTATGTATATATGTATATATATATAT